CCTCAGGGCCCGGAGTTCTACCAAATCAAATTATCAGCCTAGTGGTAACATCTGTAGACATGCTTTGACAATACTCAAAGAAAGATCAAAGGAAATCAGAGGGCAGTCTACTCTTATTTGAAAAGAAAAAACCTAGTTGGAGAAGAAAGTAAACATTTTAGAAACCTCTGCCTGAAAAGCAGGAACACAGTGAGTAGGATGAAACTAAGAAGCTAACAGCAAGCATGAAAGCCGAAGATCGCCCTCTAGTATTCTTGGTTATTTAACTTAGCCGTGCACTGCTGAGTTCCAACAACGAGGCAGTAGTAGTTTGTGGCCGATACCCAGGAGTACCAGTGGCTGCTGGGAAGAACACCAGCCAGGACGCCTAGGCTCACTGGGAAATTCACGGGGAACTTTAGGTTCTCTACCCTGTCCATACCTTCAGTTTTTCATCTATCAAATAAGCAGGTGAACTAGAATATCTATAAAGTGGTCAACACTCTTAATATTTTTGCAGGCAGCCGAGTTAGATAGAAATATTATAGGCAGTCAGACAGGGCCAGGCCCTCAAAGGAGACAGCACAGAAGATGAGATGCCTTACAACTGTGGGAGGGGCGGATGCTCCTGCTGTGAACCAGACCTAAAGACCTAAAGGCTGAACAAATGCTAAAAGAGTAGCACCTGGGATTGACATTCTAAATAGGTATCCATCACCTGGAAAGACCCAAGTGAGTCACTAGCCCAACCCCCAACAGAAAGAGACCTTGTCCCGCATTCCAACCCCCAACAGGAAAAGACCCTGTCCCATATGTAATCCCATTGGTTGACCATAGTTTTGTCCCACCTCCTGCCCACCTAAGCGAGTTCCCATTCTCTCTACCTTAGCCCCACATGGTTTAACCTATAAAAGTCCCTGGAAGAGACAGCTTCCTGGGGAACTACCCACTCGGGCCCCCCTCCTGTCCCTCTCTTGGACAGGAGCTTTCTTTCTCCCAATAAATATGTTCTGTTCATAACCTCCGTTTGTTCCTAAAATTCATTCTTCAGTTTTAGAGAACACGAACTCGCACAGGTCAGGTCCAGAGATTGTTTTTCTCTATGTCATTTGGAGGTTCCTTGTATGGTTTGGAGCTCACCCACCCGAAACCAGTTTTTCTCCCTGTATCAATATTATGATCAGAACTTCATTCTTAGACATCTTGAGAAATAAAGTCAAGAAATAAAAGTCCACTCCAAAGCATCACCCTTCCCCTGACTTTGCAATGCATACTATGCCTGGATGCTGGAAGACACAAACAGGTGCTTTTCAAACTTAGGCCGGTGCCAAATTCTCCTGAGAACACCAACTTAGATTCCTAGGACTCTTTCCAGACCTACTAAACAAAAATATTTGGTCTGGAATTTTCTATGAAGTATTCCTATGAAGCATCCCTAGAGTTGAAGATATACAGCTAGGGCAGCTATCGTCACCCCCTCCGCAGGCCAGCGACCCGGCTGCCTAGGGACCTGGGAATATAAGAACGGTGAACAGGTCTGGGCGTCCCAATGAATAATTCAGGTCTTCTTCTAAATAGATCTTTAATGTGACCAAGACATTTTTCATACATACCTCTGATCCAAAATGTGAGTATGAAGAATGAAAAACTAAATTAGAAAGTGCGCTCAAGTCAATAAATAAATCATGCATCAGGGAAGTACAACTTCTCACAGTTAATGACATTAAAACATGAAAGAAAAGAGGAGTGTTCCGAAAGATCCGTGCGTGCAAGACCCACCCAGCATCACTCATACCTCGGCTGCCACACTGAACCACACTTCAAAGTCAAAACAAGCATAGTTAGCAATAATGTCTTGTACATTTCAAAAGCGCTAGAAGCAGGGCTTGAATGTTTTGCCACAAACAAATATTTGAGATGAAAGATACGCTAATTGCTGATTTGATCATCCTACAGTGTGTGCACATATCAAAACATCACGTATCTCATGCATCTGTACAATTATTATGTGCCAAGTGAAAATAAGAAATAAAAAGGCACAACATTATGAACATAATCATCCCACTTATTACTAAGACGTGTACTCGGGTTCTCCATTTATCTAGATCCAGCTTTTAAAATGCTAGTATCTGAGTCACGACAACACAGCCCAAGCAAATATCTAGCAGCTTGAAAATGTCTATGACAAGAGAAGTGTGACAAAAGTGAAAACACAATTCTCTAAATTATAAACTTAAGTTATAGATTGACAAGCCAAGGTTTGGTTTTGTGGAGACAGTCTTGAATAAATAGTCACACAAAAGCCTTCCGTAGAAAATACTCTCAGTTTCCCTTGTGTTTGAGATTTGCTTTTACACTTTGAGGGTGGTGTCCTCCAGCAGGCCAGAGCCAAGTGGGAAGCAGGAAAATGTGTGGCTATCCCGTGGTCCAAACATAACCATAGCTTAACTAGATTTCAAATGGTTTCTAGATTGCTTTGGATTGGATTTTTATCTCTTGACTTTCTTTCTCAAGATGTCTAAGAATAAAGTTCTGGTCATAATATTAGAGTATTGATAACTTAATAGATATTCTAGTCGACCTGCTTATTTGATAGATGAAAAGCTAAAAGTATGGCCAGGATAAATAACTCAAACCTATTATCAATGGATATTCTTTATTCAGATAAATCAAACATATTCAATTAATTATCTTTATAGCAGTTAATATGGCCAATAGCATGAACATACATAACCTTACACCAATATGTCACTACGAAGCAAATTACATATTTCAGCCATTTCTCTAAATAATTATAGCAATTGAGAAGTATGTTTCTAAGTTAAACCAAAAAAAAGAGGTACCACCTCCCAAAACATAAAAATCACAAGTTATAGGAAGAAAGTATTTTCCTTTCAACATCATACCAAACATTCTAATAGAAAGGTGTTGGGTTGCTTGACACTTATATTCCCTATTAATCTTTAATAATCCATGGATTGGTAACTCCTTGAATAATACAAAAATATGCACATTATTTTCTTGTGCTTAACAAGGCAACTTGTATATAAATGTATTTTAGTTGATGTATTATTAATAGCTCCAACATTAATATAGCTTATAATCTTCTTTCTTCTTCAAATGTCTCTTTCTCTATAAGACCTAAAGACAAAAGGAAAAGAACTGCCTCTTTATGGACCACATTAGGGGCAGAGTGGGATGTAAGATAATTCGTTCACCTTATCTAAATGGAACTTCTTATAACCTACACCCTGGGCTTTTCTTTTTACAGTTAAAGAGATTGAGTTCATAGAAGTAAAATAAACAACTTAAGGTCACATTGCTAGAGGCAGTGTGTTTAGAATTAAACCCAGGTCTCACTCCAAAGCCTACATTTCTTCTAGTCCGGCATGAGCTAGGATCTCCCAGCTTGGGATGAAGAAGAAAATGATGAATAAATATATTTCTAATATTATACATGTTCTGTTAATGGCTTAGCTCCATTAATCTATTTTTTCTTTATAATGTAATAAGCATCTCTCTTATGCATGGATTATCTAAGAATACCCTTGAAAAGCAAAGAATTACAGAATTTCATATCCATAGAATATAAAAAATAGAAAACTTTACTGTATTATATCCATGCACAAATATGTATCTCAACACTATCCACATGATTAGTGTAGATCCAAAAAAGAGTTGCAGAAAACACAGAACCTAATAGACATCTTAAATATTTATTGAAATGAATAAACTTTGTCACTTCTTTATTAATATGTATCATTATGTTATATTTTCATAAATAAGTGAAGCAATTGTTTCCTCAAATTCCACAAGTGTAAGCATAAATCTGTGCTGTATTTCTCCCTCTTAAGAAGCGGCCTCACTCTCTTTCAGTTAAGAGTGCAGCTGTCTTTCTAGCACCCAAGGACAAACCTTCAATCATCCCTGATCTTCTGTTTGCCTGCTAACTCCATATTCAGCCAGGAGTCAGGCCCCACCAGTCCCTCTCTGTTCTTCTGGTACCGGGAATTGAACACAGGACCTCGCCCTTGCCAGGCAGGTGCTGTGCCACTGAGCTAAATCCCCAGCCCTCCCCCTAGCTCTGAAGGGCAGTGCCCCAGCAGGACTGCTATGTCTCCTCACCCACTGCACAAAGCAGAAGCAGCCTCCCAGAGCTGCGGCACCATCTTGGTAACAACCCACTCAGCACGCTGGGGCAAGGCTGCCGATCCCAAGAGACGTGCCTCGGCAGCTCTCAGCACATGAGCTTTCATGACGGAGCTGCCCAGCACTCAGCACCCTGCGCTCTGGTTCTTCCCCAGAGCTTACACCTATTCACCCTTTGGGATCTGTCTTGCCCCCAACCAAAGTTCTGGGTGCTCCTCACATCATCTGACCCTGGGCCTTTGCCAAGCAGGTGCCGCTACCTGAAATTTTCTTTCTCTTTGCTACCCTGTAGAGCAATTCTGCACATCCTTCCTACCAAGTCCAAAGACCACCCCGTCTCCTCGAGCCCACTGTGGCCCCACAGCTGGGAGTTCCCTCCCCCTCTGAGACTACTGAACACTCTGCTTGTACCTGTGTCCTGGAAACCAACAATTACAGCCGATGACCTTCACACGTCCTACGGTGCCTACCAGCTGTGAGCGTCTGCCAGCGACACACCTCTGCCTCTCCCAGCACCTAGCACACATCTTGCGCATACCAGGAGTTCAAAGAACTTTCATCTTATAAATCTCACTTTACACCATAAAGGCCTTTACCAGAAGAACCTATCTCCACCTGCCTTGCTCTGGTAACCTTGGGGTTTTTTTTAAAAATGCCAGAAAATGTTTCAAGTGTCCAACACAAGGTTCTCATGTATGTTGACTCCCTTGAATTTTAAGATTAGATCATCAGGATGTGGAAGAAAATACTCATTTATCAATCAAGGCAGTCTGGGCAGAAGCATGTGTCCCACTGTCCTCCATCTGTCTCCCCCTCCCAGGACGCAGGCGCACACGGCGGCAGCCCGCCCACGGCAGGGCCAGGCGTCTTACTTTGCAGTAGACGATCATGTTGGGGGAGCTCTCCTCCGGGTCCGCCGTTCCCACGGCCCGCTGATCCCCGGACCCCTGAGCCATCTTCAGGATCTTCTCTCACACTGCAGAAAGAAGTGAACAGACCATTAAGGCACAAGCGTGTGTTACTTTTAAAAGCTATGAAATATGGCTGGCTGGACAGCTCAGCGACTGAAACGCCTGCTTAGGCAGAGCACAGTGGCCAGGGTTCAACCCCTGGCGTGCCACGCCAGGCCCGTCTCCGGGGTGCGCTGAAATGGCAATTAAGACTGGGCATGGTGGCATGCGTCTGTAATCCCAGCGCTTGGGAGGCTGAAAGCAGAAGAATCACGACGAGTCCAATCTACATAGTGAGACCCTGTAGAGCCTATAGACCCTGTCCTAAGTACATAAAAACAAATAAATAATAAATGCTACAAAATGCAAAGAACTTAGCCTATTTGGTAGGTACCATGAAAACAAAATATGATACTCAATAAGTTAACAGGTTTTTTTTTTTTTCAGTAAAGGGATGACTGTGGCCCTACTGTGCACACATCTTCCTTCTTGTCCCAAAGTTTCTCTACTGTCAGTCTGATGTGCTACACCTTACAAGTGGATGCATATCCGACAGATATATACAGACGGGGGTGTGACGAGCGATGTCACCCCAAGAAGGACGAGCTACACCTTCAGCCCCTTTCCTAAAATTGTATTTTGAGATGGGGTCTTACTAAATTGTCTGGACTGGCCTCAGCTTGTGACCCTCCTCCCTCAGCCATCCAGCCAGCTGGGTTTACAAAGATGTGTCCTCGTGCCTGGCTGAGTAGAGGCCAACTTGCACTATCTCCTGAAAACCGATGAACTCCATCAGTTTCACGATGACTTCTGTACTCCAACACTCATTTCTGGATTAGTCCTATGCCTTAAAACATGAATACTTACTTCCAGAAAGTCCAATCAAGACCACAGCGAAATACTACTTCATACCCGTTAAAATAAAAATTCCTACAACAAGTGTTGGCAAAGACCTGGGGATGGAGCAGCCTGGGGACCAAGCACCCTTGGCCGCTGCTGGCAGCACTGCGGATTGGTCTCGGAGCAGGAAACTCAGCTTAGAGGCTCCTCAAACAGTTACTCACAGAATTATCTAGCAATTCCACTTTTACATACATTCTCCCCCAAAATAAAAATGAATATTCAAATACACTTGAATGTTTGCAATGTTATTCATAATAGCCGAAAGGTACAAACAACCCAGACGCCCATCAGCAATGAACGGATAAACAGAACATGTACTGGCATATAGTGGAATATTACTCACCTACAAGAAGGGGTGACGCTCTGGCTTATCCTTTGTGAATGAACCTTGACAACCCACTAAGTGAACAATCTAGATGGAAAAAATCATATACACTGAGGGTATCGAACTTATCAGCCTTTTTCTTTTTTAAAATTCTAGTTGATTTATTGATTGATTTTTAGGGAAGAGTCTACATGGTGTTCAGGGTCTCACTACTAGATTGGACTCATAGTGATCCACCTGTTTACAGCCTCCCAAGAGCTGGGATTACAGGCAGGTGCCACTGTGCCCACTCTCAATTGCTGTCTCAGCACTCCCCCGTGGGTGGGGCCAGCACCGCAGGTCTGGAGATCGAACCCTTGGCCCCTGCCCCTGCTTCCAGGTACTTTAATCTGCTGAGCTTTTTGGCTGGCCCCTTCACTGAGGGCATTTAAAGGAAGTACCCAGAAGAGGTAAATCTGAAGGACAAAGCAGATTGGCAGTTGCCAGCAGTCAGGACTAGAGGGAATGGGATAACTGCTTCACAGATGCAAGACTTTCATCTTTCGGGGATGATGCCCACATTTTAGAACTAGGGGGAGGTTGTGGTGGTAGAATATTGCGACTGTGCTGGATGCCACCGAATTACACATGGTTAATTTCATCTTAGGTGAATTTCACCTCAATTTAAAAAATGAATGTGTTCAATTTGGCCTTTGGAGAGCCTTGAAGAATACTGGTAAGATAGTGACAGACAGACTTCCTGAGTGATGAGGGAGTTCAGTTGGTGCTGTCGCATTTCACTGTCTGTGTGACCTTGAGCAGGCTGAACGACCCCTGGGGCTCTCTTTAATTCCCTTTCGAATGAATGCACCGAGCACCTGCTAGTGCTCAGGTCTATCCCACAACACCTTCCTCACCATGCTTACGTTCATTAGTACAGTACAAATGCTACCGAGTACTGCAAATGTAAGGGTCAAGGAAGATGAACGAGGAAGTACACTCCAAAGCCATAAAAGTCCTTTCCGAGAGTCATCAGACTTTAAGAGCCAGGCTGCATTACGTGCAAGAGATTCCTAGGCTTTTCATCAAGGAAACTTCAATAAACACCATGCTTCACCAAAAAAGACCATTCAATTCAAAATAAAAACTCAGAAGATAGTCTATAATAAAATAAGTTGGTACAAAAGCCATTCCATAAAAGCAAATTTGGTTGGAAGTAGAAGGAGAGAGAAATTTGTAATTTATGCTAACAATGTGGTTGTTCAAAATATCCTACTTGAATGATGTGTCGGCTTTCATCATGTGTGAATTAGAATGTATTTTAAAATTAGATTGCATGAAGAAATAAAGAGAATCATTCTAGTACGTCTCTCTGCTTTATCAGTAGCCTATAAATAGGGTACTACATGGATGCACTGGTTAGTATTCTAATCAGTGGATTTTAAAGTTAAATGAACAGTGCAGCTTCTCTCCTAAACAACTATTTAGTTGCCTACTGCACTGATACAGAATATGACAGCGTGAAAAACAAAAATTGTGTCTACTCCTGTGCACTCCTTTCTCTATGTAACGGAGCCTTTTGGATTTTCACTGCTTTATTTTAAAATGAACACTTTCACTTTAATGAGCATATTCTCCTTCACCTAGAAAACCGTATTATAATAGCAGGGTTGCAAATGACCTAGAAACAAGCATCTCCGACCCCTTCTCTCTCTCCCCAGCTGTCCCCTCCCACCAACAGCCTTTCTGTGAGTCAAGCAGGCTGAAGTCCCAGGGCTGGGCTGTGCGCTGCCAAGTGCAGGCAGATAGATAGCCCATGTGAAGAATTTGAGCGCCTCTTGTAGTCACTAAACAGCTTCTATTTTTGGTTCCTCTATCAACTCATTTTGAAACTCAGACAAGCTGTTTAATTTTTCCTGTCTAGAGAGAATCATTTCTAAGACATACCTTCCAGCAGTATGTCAACAAATGTTAGCAGGAACTGAACGTGAAATCTGTGTAGGTTAGAACTCCCTAATTAAATTCACTGACTATAATGCCAGGGTTCATGAAACTAGAGAACCAAATTTTCATTCATTACATTATGCTGTAAAATGTATCTTTCACATGAAACACAACACAAATCAATAGTTTTAAAATCAAATGATGAAGAAAAACTGAAACTTCTTTATGTATAGATACTATGTGCATTTACTCAGAGTAAATAATC